GTACCCCAACTAAGGTCACCTCTCTCCCTTACTCCTAATCTCATACCCTTAATTAAAGACACCACACAACTACACATCACAGAAAATACCAAAGCGACTGAATAATTTAAATGGGGTGTTACATTGTAAAGAGGAAAATTTCTTCCTTTGCTTTATGTTTTTTGTTTACTGTTTGGTTTCATTATGTACTTGAGTTTCATGCATTTATGCTTCCCTGTAGTTGTATAAGTAGAAATTTTACAAGATTCAATTCAACTGCCTCTAACTTGGCAGGGTCAGCATGTACTCCCTGAGATGACACAATGTGGCCTAAATAGTCTATTGATTCTTGACAAAACAAGCATTTGGAGAGCTTTACATAAAATGAGTTAGTGAATAAATAATTCAAAACTAGCTCCAGATGCTGCAAGTGATCAACAAGAGAACTGCTATACACCAAAATATCGTCAAAGAAAACAATGACAAACCGTCGCAAAAACTGCGAAAACAACCGATTCATCGTTGCTTGGAATGTTGAGGGTGCATTGGTGAGACCGAACGACATGACGAGGAACTCAAAATGCCCCTCATGTGTGCGAAAAGCAGTCTTGTATGTATCGCGCGGGTGCATCCATATTTGATGGTATCCCGCACGAAGGTCCAACTTACTGAAAATGGTAGCACCCTCAAGCTCGTCCAACAATTCATCAATGGTAGGGATGGGGAATTTGTCCTTAACGGTAGCAGCGTTCAAGGCGCGATAATCAATGCAAAATCGCCATGATCCATCTTTTTTACGAACCAACAAAACCGGGGAAGAGAAAGGGCTGTGACTCGGGATAATTATGCCTTGATCAAGCATCTCCCGAATTAATTTCTCCATTTCTGATTTTTGAAATTGCGGATAACGGTATGGCCTCACATTGATTGGGTTGGTGCCCTAAACCAAATGAATGCGATGGTCAATAGAACGGTGAGGTGGTAAACCAGTCGGAGCAACAAAAAGATGCAGAAAATGTTGCAGTATGGTTAACACGGGGTCAGGGAGGGATTGGGGAAATTGTGGTGGGTCTATTTGAGTATTAGTTGAAGTTTCAGAGCATGGTGTAATGGTGAAGATACCTGCAACTGTGTCGCTATGAACCAGGGACTGGAATTGGAGTAAAGACACCGAGTGAGAGTGTACTGAGGAGTCACCGCGAAGAGTGACTGGTTGACCTTCCCATAGAAATTCCATTGTCAAAGCAGAGTAGTCATGAGCAACTTTCCCCAATAATTGAAGCCATGGAAAGCCTAACACCACGTCAGGGCCTTCAATTGCAAGCACAAAAAGATCAACTGGAAACGTAATACCTTGCAGGAGTAAAGGTACATTAGGGCAACAATATTGACATAATAAAGAGGAGCCACAACCCGTAGCCACCCGGAAACACGAGCAAGGAGTCATTGGAAGGCCTAACCGTTCCACCAACGCCTGATTAATAAAATTATGTGTGCTGCCGCTGTCGATTAGAGTGTGAAATTGGTGGTTACCGTACGCACCTGAAACGCGTAGAGAACGGCCTTGGAGCTGACTAGAGAGGGCGTTAAGGCTCGATATGTCCCCGGACACATCCTCATGAGAAGCTTCCTCAATAATAATATCATGTTCATCATCATCAACACCAAGTAGCAAGAGAACTTTGCTACGACAACGATGAGATGAATTCCATTTTTCGTCACACTTGAAACAAAGGCCTTTAGAACGACGATCACGAATCTCTGCCGGTGGAAGGTGACGGACGGGTAAGGTGGATTGATGGGTGGGAAGCAGAGGAGGTAATGAAGTTGGTTTTGTATGTGGAGGTGTGGTTTGGGATTGTGGGATTTGCGTGGAAGGTTGTTGGATTGGGATGGTTGTGATAGGTGGGTTAGTGGAATTACGGGTCCAATTTTTGGAGTACGGAGAATTGTCATCCAAACGCGCCTCATACGCACGAGCCATAGCAAAGGCTTCCATCAACGTTGGGGGACGGTGAAATTGCAGCTCACGACGTAGAGTTCGTTTCAAGCCGGTAATGAAAAAACTAATTAAAAGTGGTTCTGAGATACCATTAACCTCGTTCATGATCAGATCCTCAAATTGAGCTTGGAAATCAGCAACTGAACCCGTTTGTGATAGTTTAGAAAGCCCACCTTCAACATCTTCATACGCTGTCGGACCGAAGCGGTGACGAACGGATACGAGAAACGCTTGCCACGAGGTGAACAAGTTGTTGTGCGTAGCCCACTGAAACCAAGCAGCTGCACGACCTTCCAAATGAAATGAAACGATTTGGAGACGCGAAGCTTCCGGTGTGTCGTGGAAATTAAAAAACGCTTCAATCTGAAAAAGCCAATCGGAAGCATTCAAACCATCAAATCTGGGAACAGATAACTTGAGCGAACGTGAGATAGAGCTAGTAACGGTTGACGGTGATGCAGTACGGAGATGCGCAACCTTAGAATCTACTTCCAGAAGGTGTTGATGAAGTGTGTTGTGAATGGAATCTGAGTGTGCGTCAAGGGAGGATTGGAGAAGAGCACTAAGGGATGAGGATTGGGCATCGAGTTTGGATTGAAGGGCGTTCATAATGGCGTCGTGAGACATTGTTCAATGAAAGCACCAATGATACACTTACTGCACTTAGGTGATCGAAATCGGCACTCTTCGAGCGAGTGTTAGCTCCACAAGAGAAGAAGAAAGAAACTAATGAAGAGGAGAAATCTTCTTAACATTCATCATAACCAAATGGTTCTCAAGTACAACTATAAAAAGGAGTGTGGGTGTTAACAAACTCTAACAACCCAACACGATTTCAGGAAAAGGCAAAAGCATAACAGAAATGAAATTAAAAGGAATAACACTATTCTAGATCCTTCAGTCGCACAGGTAATCCTCCATCCATAATGGCTTTTTGGGCTGTCTCTTTCTCAATTCCTGGACTACCTCATCATCTGACTCATCTTCATTGGGCCTTGGGACACTGTTTTGGATTGGGCTTATGGGGGGTGTATCACTAATCCACCAATTTCTCCTGTTGGTAGAGTCTAGAAGTAACATGTGGTATAGACATGTCTTCACAAGCTAGAGTAAAAATTATAGAAGGATCTTAGTATTTTTTTATGTTTAGTTTTCCTCAGCAGAAGCAAGTATTTTTATTAAAAATGCACAATATAATAAACAATCAGTCTCATATATCAATCAATTTAACTGTTAATAGTATGAGTAAATTATTTTTTATTACAATGCATTTTTTCTATTACTTGTTACTATTATTGTAATGCGTTGGTGGCATTGATTTTGTAATTCCTTTTTCTGCAAAGAAATAACAAAAAATTACAAATTCATTTTTTTAATCACTTCAGGAAATTCCTACAAGGAATGAGATAAAGTGCATGAATCCAAATTATAATGATTTTATATTTCTGAAGATAAAACTTCATCCTAGCACAAGGTTTACTCTCCTGTGCTTTGCTTGGATTCTGATGTTTATTCTTTGTTGGCAAGCTAGATTCTAATATATATTTTTTCATAAGGTTCTAATGGCAGTTGTATTCACTGTCACCAAATATAAGCTAGATTCGAATATGATCCAAGGTTATAACCAGGTTAATTGATGTCACACAGGTACCATGAAGCTGATATGAGGACTGAGAGAGCACCTTATTAGCAGCTTACAAGTCTGATTTGGGGTCAGGACTACATGCTACTGATTATGTGAAACTTTGTTTAGAATTTATTCACTGCTTGGAAATTCTGTTTGAAATCTTTCTGGGTTTGTTTATGACTTGCTAAAATCTTTCTGGGTTTGTTTATGACTTGCTGAAATCTTTCTGACCTACAAGATAGAAAATTTAGTTTGAAATTATAATTGTTCACAACTTAGAAATTCTGAAATTCTGATATAGCTTAGAAATTCTTATTTCATTGTAGCTTATGAATTCTAATACCGTTGCAGCTAGAAATTTTTATTGCATTGCAGCTTAGAAATTACGATATCATTGCAGATTAGAAACTCTAATACCCTACTTATTTTAAAATTGTTTCTTAAGAGTTTTGAAGTAGAGAAAAATATATGTTCATAATTCTTATTGGGCATTAATATGATATCATTAAAATCGGGTTCTTTTGTTTGTGATTTAAAATGTGCTAATGAGCATTATGTGATATTATTGCAGTATCAAAGAGGATGCAACATCAAACAGGTTGTGCTAATGAGCATTAATGGATTTGAAGAACTTTTGAGCGTGTAGAAAAAGTAGTTTGAAGTACAAATATGAACATAGTCAAACAGGTGTTCATAATTCATGTAACGAGTTTATTGTAAAATATTTGAAGCTTAAAATTTGTATAAAAATTGGGTCATTTGTTATATTTGAAGGCCCAAAGTTTTTATTTAATGTCATTTTATTTTTTGAAAAATGATAATGTAGCTGAAATTTTGTATGACAAAATTAAAGACCGGTTAACCGAACAAACTGATTCATTTTAATCAATTAAACTGAATTTTATTAAACCGATCAAAAGTTCAGGCGAAATTGGGCCTACCAAATTCATCCATAGTTTTGGCCGATTTAACATATTGGGTCCGAATTCAAACCAAACCGACCGGTGTCCATCGCTAGTGTGAGGTACTATTGGATACTTGCGATAGTGTACTTGTTTTGTACCCGTAGAGCAAATACAAATGAAAAGTAACATCAATTACTATCCTGCTCTTGATTTACTTTTTCCCTTTTTTTCTTTAGTTTTAGAGTAGATCTAAAAGAATTGCTAACAATACTATACATTCGGGTTTTCAATCAATTTGAGTTCATAACATCACGTTTCATATATTACAATACAATAAATTACTTGCTTCAGACACAATTAACCAACACATGTAACAAAGTAACACACCTCACTCAATTAATTGCTATCTTGAATACTGCTGCCTCCATTAGAAAGACAAACACCTAACACAAAAATCTGTTACTATATTATTATAATACCCTAAACGTTAATGCTTAGAAGCAGGGATATTGAGCTCCACATAATCAACAAATTTATCTATATATTTTTGGTGCAGCTCCTTGTCTCCTACTATCTTCCTCATCTCTTCAGCTTTACTTCTATAAGTCTTTCCCTCTGCCTCTACCATCACCAATCTCAATGCTTTAGCCACTGAATCCCTACTGAATTTCTCATCATTTCTGTCTACCTTTACCCCAACCATCTTTTCTTCCATAAGTCTAGCAACTAAACCTTGTTCATTATGGAAAGGTAACATAATAAGTGGACACCCAACTTGAAGACTCTCAATCACTGAACTCCAACCGCAATGTGTCAAGAATCCTCCAATTGACTCATGTGATAAGATTCTCAACTGTGGTGCCCAATTATTCCAAATCAATCCATTCTTATTTGAATCATTCTCAACAAACCAATCATGTTTATCATGGTTCTTCACAATCCAAAGAAACGGAAAGCTAGATAATTCCAATCCTTTAGCTATCTCAGTAAATTCATCATCACTTAATGTCACCTCACTTCCAAATGCAACATATACCACTGACTGTTTTTCCTGTTTATCCAACCACTTAAGGATTGTATCCCAATTTTCATCCTTTTTCTCTTCACTGAATTCTAGTGAAGGTGGCAATAATCCAACTGGAATCACTTTTTTCTTGGATTGATTTTCAATCGATTCTAGAGCCTTACCTTCAATCTCCATGCAACTTCTTACAACAATAAAATCAGCACAAAATAGAGTTCCTTTCACCCTATACATATCGGAAACACCAGATTCATTTTGTTCATAGTGGACATTAGAAATAATATTCTCCTCTTCATTTGACTTTTGAACAAATACTTCCACTATACAAGAAATACCAAATGCACTGAAAATTGAGAAATAGATGGTTAAGACGCCAAGCTTTGATAATATTGGCGGTAACCAATAAGGTCCAAAGTCATATATGAAACAGTCAGGAGTGGATGTTTCCAGAAATAGAGTCAAAGGTTGTTGAAGACCATCAAATGCTTTCTTGAGATATGGAACAATATGTGGTGGAATGTCCATAGTGGCTTCTGCATTCTCAGGTAGTTGATCTATATGTGGAAGTGGGAGTTCCACAAAATTGATGAAAGGTTGTAAATTAGGAGGAAGTGGAGGGAGGCGTTTGATGTTTCTAGGTGTGGAAATGAATGAAATTTTATGACCCTTTTGAGCAATGAGTTTAGAAAGTTGAAAGAAAGGACTAATATGACCAAAAGCAAGCCATGGGAAAACAGCAATGTGAAGAAACTTGTTACTAGGTTGATCTTCCATTATGGTAATGTATTATGTGTTTGTGTTTAACAAATGGAACTCAATACTTTTATGGACATGAGGATGAGTCAATATATATTAAATATGTTCCATTGGGGTTTAGGATGTGGTTAAAAGTCGCCCACAAACTTACATATCAAAATCTTAATCATTTGGTCTTGTATGTCCTTTATATGTTTTTTCTATCTTAAAATATCTGTGAACATGTGGTGTGGTGTGAATGAGCAGCAAGTACTGGTCTATTCTGTCATAATCACTAATCATCTACCAAATGAAAGAGAGACACATGTAAAAATAATTTGTTTTGTACGCATAATGTTGCAGCAATTCATTGTTTATTATTTGTTTTATTTAACTATTTAATAATTAGTTTAATTTAACTTATTTTTAAAATAAGAAAATTAATTAAAAACAAAAAATATATGAAAAGAAAATTTTGTTCATTCACTTTCCGTCCATTGGGTTTGATATAAGGTGAACAAATTAGAGTAAATTTGTAATGTCTTAGCTTACTAAACACTAGTTAATTGTACTATTAATGATATGCTAGTATGATTAGTGGATAAATTAGTAAGTTAATGGCCTTGGTTAATTAAAGAGGACACCGAAGAGGGCATGGTTAGTGAATCCAATTAAGTCACAAGGGTGAAATGATTCTTGACTATTTATCTATTTAAACCAAAGATGACTCTAATTCTACTCATTTTTTCTCATTTCTCTATCACTCAAAACATGAATTGAGAGAAGTTTGAGAGAGTAGAGAGAAAAACGAGAATTGAAAAAGGAGAGGAGGGTTTTGAGTTCAAATTTCGTCATTCTAGCTTGCATGTGAGATTAACTCATAACTGTTGAAGAGTCTTCATCATCCAAGCATTGATCAGCATCCTTCCACCATCCCCTAGCCTAAATTAAAAGTTGTCTCAAGTTAAGGTGAGTTCTAGTTTAGGTTTATATCAATTATAAAATCATGTGATGGGAGGGTTTGTGGATTATATGCTTTTTGATTGTCTTTATTACTACTGCGAAAAACACATATAATGATGATTGTGAACACATATAATAATGGTTTTACGTCATTTGTTAAGTAGGATGTGATTGTATGTATGTTGGTTTTCAAAACGGACGAGTTATGGTAGTTATAAGTTAGGTAGCATGCTACTTAGAACAACAATTATATCTTCCAACCGTGGTGGTATGTGTAAGAGTTTATTATAAAATATGAGATTACTTGTTTTTTCCTGCCCCTCATTAACCATATACAACCATTCAAATAGATTTTTGAGATAATAATTAGAAAAATTAAATTATTCTTAAAAAACAACTTAAACGGTCCAATGTTTTTCGAATTGCACGCATCTTGTTATTCATGATTTTCTCATTAACCCATATAATTTGATTCAATTCCAAATTCTTCAAAGTAATGCTGATGAAAAAATGTCTTCTAAGTCTTTCAGACAAAATTTGATTTCCTTTTATTTTCTAGTTTATTTTTTCAACATCAAATTTCATGTGAAAGACTCAGAATGACATCCATTTATTATCATTATTTTGAAAATTTTGTAGCATTGAATCAAATTTTATAGGATAAAGAGAAAATAATAAATTACAAAAATATATCTAAATGAATGCAAGTTCAATGGAGAATTAGTGAAACAAGCAATCACATATGATATAACAAACTCACTAACAATGTTTATCAACAAAAACATCAATTAATTAACATAGATTGAGAGAACTTGATAACTAACCATTTATGTAAGCTATGAAGATGATAAAGTAGAAGGGAGAGTAGAAAACATGTGTTCACTATAGAAATATTATATGAAAGACTCATATAATATTTCCACAGCGAATACAAGTTCTCAACTCTCTTAGATTCATGTTCACACAAGCAGCTGCATTAGCGATAAGTAAAGAACAATAATTGATAAATCTACACTAGGATAGTATCAAATCTAAATAATCAAAAGGAAGATAAACTTAAAACAGTTTGAACATATATTTTCTTCTTAGCCCTAAAGAGGCAACATTACAATATAAATACTAGGGTTTCTAAACTATGGGCCATGGGCCAACATAAGAATTATTTTAAACCCATTAAAGATAAAATACTAAAGACAACCTCGCTTAATAATGATAAAAAATTTTAAACAAAAAGGGCTTTTTCCTTTCCCTAATAAGCTTATTGGGCTTAGAACTCTGTGGCCTATCAATACTCCCTGATTCAATAGGAACCTTGTCCTCAAGGTTCAAAGATGCATTGGGCCGTGTGACAATTTTGTGTGAGGCCCATGTTGAAGAGGGATCCATAACATGCATTGGAGGTGTGGAAAAACTATCCGTGACATAGGAGTTGGAGGCATTAATTGGTGATAAATGGATAGGAATTGGTGCGGTACAACTGGCTGATAAGGGAGAGAGGAAAGGTGAGGTACAGCTGGCGGATAAGGGAGGTAAAGCTGGTGCGAGACAGTTGGATATTTGAGAAGGTTGGAGGAACCGAGGAGCATTAATGTGGCATGGGAAAGGGAAGTTTACAGCATGCGGTAGGGTGGCTACGGTAGGGGATAGGTGGAGGCTACAAAAAAGAGATAAGGGAGAGTTATGAGTGGAAGGTGAAGTGGCAATTTCGGATTGGGAAAGGCTAGATATTGAAGGATTTTTGTGATAAGGAAGTAGAGGGGTAACCGGACGTGAATGAGAGAGGGGGTTCAAACAAGTGACTGTTGTGGGGTCTGTAATTGTACTTAAAGATTGAGACTTAGAGTTAGTGGGGCATATATAAGAAGAAGTAACCCTAGATTCAGTTTTCTTTGTGGTCTCCAAAGTACCTCCGCCGCTTAGAGACAATTTTTCCAAACTCTTCTCTTTGTCAAACAGTTTCTCTCTTTGCCTTGCATGTCCAGCTTCAGTCATCAACGGTGCAGGTAAAACAATATTGTTTTGTTATATGGTAGCCATCTTTGTTTTTCCACCTCCGTTTGAAATTTGTTTGCTTATTTGATCAGATCTAACAACATCAGTATTGGGTACTGTTTTGTCTTGCAGGAAGATATCAGAGATGTGTAAAGGAAGGTCATGCTCATGGTGTTGGTTCGTTTTTCCGAAGAAGGGTCGAAGGAGAGGCACATGCACGACAGGATGGATCCTGGAAGATGAAGGTAGATCCAATTCGTAGGCCACCTCTCCCACGCGTCGGATGATCTTGAATGGTCCATGAAATATTTCGAAAGTTTTTGTGACGTTCTCTTCATCACAGTCTGTTGACGGTAAGGCCGCAAGTGAAGTAGTACAAGATCTCGTTTTTGTAAGTTGTGTTTGAGCTGACTCAAAAAATCTTGGCGATGTTGAAGCGAGGAATCCAAGGAATCAATGGTGGCGGAGTCTTTGATGTAATCCGGAATAGACGGAGGTGGACGCCCGTATAGAGCCTGGAATGGCGGCATCTTAATAGCCGAGTGATATGTCATGTTGAACCAGAATTCGGCCAGATGCAAGTATTTGAACCAGTGCTTTAGATGGTCGCTAACAAAACACCGTAGGTATGTTTCTAAGCTTCTATTCACAACTTCCGACTGTCCATCTATTTCCGGATGGTAAGTCGTACTAAATTTAAGCTTTGTCCCTTGAACTTTAAACAGTTGTTTCCAAAATGAACTAAAAAACAAGGGATCCCTGTCCGAGACAATAGATTTGGGAATACCATGGAGCCGAAAAATCTCAACAGAAAATCTTGTTGCCAGATCCTGTGCAGTGTATCGAGTTGGAAGAGCAATGAAGTGTACATACTTCGTGAGTCGATCACAGATGACCCAGATCACTGTGTGACCAAAGGAATTTGGAAGATGAGTTATAAAGTCCATGGTAAGTTCCTCCCACACCTGATTTGGTATTGCTAAGGGTTGCAACAGTCCCTTCTTTTTCTGTGTTTGATACTTGCTTTGTTGACAAACTATGCAGTGTTTAATGAAATCCGTAACCTCGGTGTGGAGTCCCGGCCAAGCAAAGGAAGCAGCAAGTCTAGCAACTGTTGGTTTGACACCCGAGTGACCCGAAGTTGGTGTACTATGAAACTCATCAATGAGTGCCAACCGTAATTGATTAAAAGGTATGTACAGTCTTTCTCGGAAAAGCAGTAGTCCTTTGGAAAATATTTTTTCCCTCTGAGTCATGTTTTTCACTAACTCTTGGCCTTCCAAATCTGTGGCATAGTAATGGCAGAGGTGGGTGACCAGATCGGGAATGGCGGACGAGAGAGCCATTAGAAGAGGAGGTTCTTGAGTGGAAAACTTGCGGCTTAAAGCATCTACTACAAGGTTCGATCGACCAAGTTTGTACAAAATTTCAAAATTGAACCCTTGTAGTTTTGAAGCCCACTTTTGTTGTTCTGGCGTTTGAATTTGTTGCATTAGGAGATCCTTTAAACTCTTTTGATCTGTGTAAATTTGAAACTTCTGACCAATCAAGTATTGATACCATTTCTTGACTGATTCTGTTACAGCGTACATCTCACGGACATAGACAAAATTAGACTGCATACGGGTGCACATTTTTTGCTGAAAAAGGCGAGGGGATGGCCATTCTGAGAGAGGACTACACCAATTGCAACTCCGGAAGCATCTGTCTCAATGATAAATGTTTTTGTGAAGTCTGGAAAAGCCAGCACCGACATGTCGGTCATTTTCTTTTTCAATTCTGTAAAGGCCAAAGTAGCCTCTGTACTCCATGAAAATGTAGTAGAACGCAATAAATCGGTGAGAGGAGCGGCGAGAGTGGCGTAGTGGTGCACAAAACATATATAGAAACCGGTGAGACCGAGGAAACCCCGCAATGCCGTGAGAGAACGTGGCACCGGCCAATCCACTATTGCCTGAATTTTTTCTGGATCTGCAGCAACACTACCTTCTGATATAACATGAACCAAATAATTCACCTTGTTAACTGCAAAAACACACTTTGAAAATTTTGCAAGAAATGAATTGGACTTTAAAACATTAAAA